TTATGAAAGACAATTGGTCGAATCGGACGAAGATATAGAGGAGCCTACATAAAAGTATTCTTTTTGTGATAATGCCTTAGTTTACCCGGGATGACAGATATGATTCGGAAAGTAAAGAGACGTTATTAGAATCAGAAAGCGTAACTAAGGGGAATGGCTCAGTGCTGTAGTTTCTGAAGACTTACAATTAGTATTCTCTACAGTTCTCCAAATGGTCCACATGAATTAACTTGCACTCGAATGGAGAATTGCTTTTCCAATTGTCAAAGACACGTGAAGATGGGGAAAACGGAGTGTTCTAACTTTCATGATAGAGGCTCTGTTGAAATCAAGAAATTTAACGAGTTAGGCATACAATGGGGATATTGCAGATGCCTAAGCTGAGAGATTATTGGGGCAACAGGTCTGCGAGTGGTGGGCATTCGATTGCTGAGAAGGTATTGCGAAGGACCTGATTCAAGCAATAATTGAATACTCTTCATTTTGCCGGTAATGGTCAGTTTGGGAGCAACAGACTTTCCAAGATAGTACTTTCCAGTAAACTGTGCAGTGCGATTTGTGAGAAAGTTCACAGAACTGGAGAAGAAATTTGCATCGGTGAGTCATTAGTACCATTCCATGGCCTAATGGTTTCCAAGCAACACATCCCTTCCAAGAGGAAGAAATATGGAACAGAGCTTTCAAGCTCTGTTGTAATGGCATTACACAGAGGAATAAGACTCACTTCGGGAGATAGCCCACAAGGAAGAACCCAATAGCTGTATCTATGGTCATAGAACTAATGGATGGGCTCATCGTTGACCCGCGCTGTCATCAAAGGGGTATTCGAATTAACCTCGGTCCTCGGGGATCTCGTGACCTTTGTATCTACGACTCAGACTTGGTGACAGTTCTGAGAAGCGCGATTCCTATTGTAAGAACCCGGGTAGTGGATCTTATACCCGGGTTCCTACGGGAAGCAACGGGGTTCCTGCGGCAACTACCGTAATCTCTCAGTGGAACTTCAAAGCACACCCTTCACAGCGCACGGCTTCTTACGACCACTTGTGGTCACACTCCCCTAACCAGAGTGTAGGTCAGATCTGCCTAAACTGTGATTTTAAGCTCTTCATGTAGTAAGATAGTAGCCGCCAAGATCGTGGTAAGGGCGTGAGCAGCTGTCCCTGGTTATGTCCTTATCCTAACCGTCAAGAGCGACTCATCCAGAGAATGTCATTGTGACATAGAATTTCATGGCGTGATTTTCTGGACTGGCTATTATTGAAAAATACGTCTCTTCCGAGTCTGTCACTGGTTTTTCGACGATAATACCGGAAATGGATGACAGCATACAGTTACCTGGAGACCACTATCGCTCATGACCATGCCAAGCCCCACATACCTCGAATTTTGCAGCAGTTTCTTGAAGAAAAATGTTGGAATCTGGATTCGAAAACTGTATTCGCTTGACCTACAACAGTGCGGCCTTCACTGTTTCGACAGTCGCCTTGATAACGGGCGGAAGCGAAGCTAAATAGCCACATAAGGTTAAAGGATGAAGTCTTCGGCGTTAATCAATCTCGTCTGAGGGATGCGTCCACGCATTCGACTCCAATTCAGAATCGTAGTGGTGTTTGAATGCGTGTGTGGCCCATACAATAGCTTGCGTTGACCAACCGATGTACAGAAATTGCTTTTACCCTCTCAGACTTGACCAAGCCTGAAGGGATGGGTGGCTCGGTTGTCTAGGCGGATAACGATCCGGGATTCGAATCCGTGACCGTGCGTGTGTGAGATAGTGCGCTACTTGCCACTACCCCACCTCCGCCCTCCGAATGGCTATTATATCCGCTTTTTTTGAAGAAGAAGAGCCATCGGTGCCCAGATACTACGTGGACACTGGTAACAGGTTGCTGACAAGGATGAAGCTCATTTGACTGAATACTACAATATTAGCTTTTTATCTGCTTCGGTCGTTGCTGACTCGAGGACAAGCTTATGAACTTGCGGATGAGACGACCTAATAATTTCTCATTATCGATCGGCAATGCTAAGATTTTTATTTTCATTGGATTCTTTTTTTTCTTGGCCAGCATAATAGTAACAACACATTCCTAAGTGTTTCCTGATTTTATCAAAGTGCGCCCTGCCTCGAAAAACTTTTTTGTGGTTAATTTTGGCTAGGCCCTTTCATGCCCCTTCATTTCTCCGTGGAGTAATCTTGCTGTTTCTATGGTATGAAATTTCACGCAAACTCCGCACAAGCAATGCATCTTATGGCACATACCAGTTTGGCTATGCATGCTAACGCGCGCACTATATGTCGACGGCTACTTATCCACGATGGAGTCATTCAGCGAAATGTTGGATAATCAGAATAAGATAGTTCTCTCTATATTCGAACGCTGAACTGCTGAGAGCATCACGCTCGATATATTTGAGCAGAGTTATTAGTGGTTGATCATAGCTCCGTCCACCTTAGTGCAAACCCTTCCCACAATAAACTTGACCACCCTTCTTTTGACTGCTCCAAACCATTTTTCTTCCGCATTCCAGAAAGTTTTTAAAGAGTTGAATTTGAGGTCCTAGCCCCTCTTCCATGTGCCAGCTCAGCCCCCTTCGAGGACTTAACTACATTTGTTCCAATTCCTCCTACCACTTTTTTCTCGCGTTCTGGAACGTTTCTGAATAGAGTTATAAAATTTTGATCTAAGCCCCGCCCACTTTGTTGCCAGCCCCGCCCCCTTCCGGAATTAGACTACATTTGTTCTCACATTTGCTCTTTTACACCTTGACACCTTTTTGCCGCATCCCAGAACGTTTCTGAATAGAGTTATAAAGTTTTGATCTGGGCCCCGCCCACTTTGGTGCCAACCCCGCCCACTTTCGGGGTTTGACCACATTTGTTCTTTTCCACCTTGACACCTTTTTGCCGCATCCCAGAACGTTTCTGAATAGAGTTAT